GTTTGTATAAAAATATAAAGTGAACTTAGGGCAACCTATATATATATTTCTCTCTTTCTCTTATACATTATAACGTGCGCGTAAACAATCGTGCAAGTTGAACGCTTGCTCAGTTTAGAATTATGAGCGTCTACGTCCAATGCAGCAACGTTTAACGAACGTATTCGCGTAGCTACCTCGCGTAAAAGCATTATATTCACGTGAGTAGATTTTAGTAGACGAGAAAAACAGTTTATATCGAAATGTCACGCGAAGGAATATTATCCAGCGAGAAATATGTATCTCGATATTATCTCGAATATTTCGTATAACAACTTGGTCATTAGGGCCTATTTCCGAAATTTAATCAAATGATTTCACTCTCACCCCATTACCACCACCACCACCACCACCACTACCACTACCACCACCACCACTGTCATCATCACTTTTCTTTTAAACTTTGACATGGAGTCAAGTTGGAACGAGTTAATTGCAAAAAATATAAAAAAAAATAGAAATGAAAAAAATGAATAAGAAAAAACGAATCTCGAGAACATTTATAAATGAAAAGTATGACTCTATCAACATATGTCCTCTCATTCGACCTTCTTGCGATGATGTTCTAGTATCATTATAAGTAAACCTTTCCGCTAGTCGCTCTTGACAAACTTCCGTTCGTTTCCGGTAGAATATTAAAGAGCCATCAAACCGAGACACCTACTTTAGAAACAGAGATTCTCAAACTTAGAAAACCCATTCGACGAGTGACAAGAGACCCATTTTCTTCTCTTAAATATTCAATGGGGTTTTGTAATATTTACTAAGGATTAAACGATATGGTTTGGGTTGATATAATATCTTGATTTCTTTTTCTTTTTTCTTTTTTCTTTTCTTTTTTTTTTTTTTATTTCTTTTTCGTTCTCTTATTTTTTCTTTTCTTTTTTTTTTTTTTTTCTTTTTCACTCTCGTATATCTAACGAACACGATATATTGTAAGTCAAGTTATAATCGAGATTAATTGCAATCTTTAAGAGGGCTAATATTTTTATTTTTTTTTTTACTTTTTATTACTTTTATATTCTGCTACTCATTCTCTCTTTTCTTTCTATTTTCTTCTCTCTCTCTCTCTCTCTCTCTCTTTCTATCTATCTTTCTTTTTCCATCTCTTTTTTATTACCATTCGATTTTCGATATCCTTTAACAACGATATCGATATTCCAGTTACCCTATAAATTGTCTTCGAAGCTTGGAGTTATTGTGTGTCTGTCGTTGATGCAATGTCATGACAAAATAAAATTTCGACTGGAATTAAACGAGATCGTAGAAATATTCGTTCTATGTCAGTTTATGATTTTCTTATCTTTCGTAAATAAAAGAAGAAATATATGTATATGTCTATATATATATATGTATATATATATATATATATATAACAATGATAGTAAATATTTTAATTAATATTTATGGTCTCGTTGAAATTATTCGAAAAATTTTTCTTTAACAATTATTAACCATACGAATAACAAAATCTTACTATTTCACTGAATCAAATCTTATAATATTACAAATTTGTTTAAAACGATCCATTGTTTGCGAAACATTGTGTGTGTGTATATATATATATATATATATTCATAGATATATGCAGATATATTCTAGAGCACGACAAGAGTAATCAAGGAGGACATAACGTTGGCCGTACGTCTATTTTACGGCTATTGCGTTAAAACAAAGCACGTATGTACTCGTGTGTATATATAATACATATATATATACATATATATACATATATATATATATATAGGTATTATGTATGAATATACCAAGGTTGATAGATATATATATATATATATATATATATATATATATATAAATGGATAGTCAAATTTGTAACTCCGATGTCGTACAGCTTTGACATATCTGTAGGTTATAACTTTCCTCTATCCGCACTTCAATACCTACGATAATATCTAAAATTTTATAGTTGAATTCGTTCGAATCGATTGTTTATTAATTTTTCGATAAAACCACGATTTAACGTAGAAAAGAAGAATAATTGTCAATATCATTCGATCGTTTAGTCATAATTCTTTATATTTTCTATATCGGATAAAAATTTTTTATTGAGATTAATATTACAAATTGCATTCATTGTCGTCGTTGTCGTCGTCGCCGTCGTGTTTTCTTTTTTTTTTTTTTTTTTTTGATTACAATTATATTTACCTTTTTTCAATGAATAAATTAATTTTTCAAAGATTTATCGACGATATATTATATTTTTTTATAGGTGATCGTTCAAAGCGATTCATAATTCGTATGTCTTATTTTTTAAGATATTTTAAAATATCGATTCGAATCGATCAAAAATTATTTTTCGATAATGTATGACAAGCAAAAAGAAAGAGATAGAAAGAAAGAGAGAGAGAGAGAGAGAGAGAGAGAGAGAGAGAGAGAGAGAGAGAGAGACAGACAGACAGACAGACAGACAGAGAGAGAATAAACATAATTATTATCGAAAAACAATTCTTATACGTAATCTTTCGAAAGTACGTTGTTTCGAGCAATAATATATATATATCATTCAATATATCTTATAAGAAAATAAAATAAAAATCAGATAGTTTTCTTCATAAAACGCTCGTTCTCGTATGATTTACGTAAAATATATACATATATAATAATAAGAAAAAAAAAAAAAAAAAAAAAAAAAAAAATAAAAAGCAAGAAAATAATAGTTAATCCTAGTTAACTCGATTCGATAGATATTTATTCGTTTATACATTTAGTTTTGTAACTAGTAAGCATGGCGTCTCCTTGCTCTAAAGTTAAATTTCCAATTAATTCTCCTTTGCGTGTGAAATCCTTTTCGTACTCTCTATAGTATTCAGGAGGGACATGTCAAAGGGGAATTAAGTTTGTTGGAATCTCGGCGTATCATCGATGAAATCCATGAGTCTCTGTGAGAGACTCAGTATATATATATATATATGTATATATATATATATATATATATATATACATATGCGTATGTTGTGATAACTACGCGAAATCTCTCGCATCTCTCATGCTAATTACGAGTAATATAGAGAAGTGATAACACCAGAACGTCTCTCTTCCCGAATTCCCCTCGAATTGGACGACATTTTGCGGACTGGACAGAGCATTGGTATCAGGAGAATGCTTCGTCCTTCGTAAATTATGTAGAGGTAATGTCTCTCTCTCTCTCTCTCTCTCTTTCTCTCTCTCTTGCTCTGAATATAGTATAGATGTGTTATCGTTTAATCAAGAACGAAAGTACGAACTTCTTCAAATTTTTAATGAATTTTCAAACTCTATATATTCAACAGCTGATTGTAAGTTTCGAATGAAAAAAATTTATTCTATAGATCTTATTTTTTTTTCTTTTTTGTTTTCTTCCCCCCCTCCTCTCCTTCCCTGAAGAATTACATCATACTCGTTTATATATATTATTCGATTACACTCTAATATATGATATGATATGGTAATATAATTAATATATATTATCTTGCAGATAATATTTATTAGAATTATGCATATTATATTATTTATTTTGTATATAATTTTAGTATATAATTTTAATATATATATATATATATATATATATATATATATATAAATATAAAGAATATCTAAGAAAATTGTATATATATATATATACACATACATACACAGTCACATCATATCTTAATTATTATTTATTTTGTATATTATTGGTTATAATTAAAGACAGAAAGGATTTCTCAAAGATCTTGAAGTATAAAGACGGCATAATTAATAGCATATTTAAGGATTAAAAAAAAAATTAAAATTTTATTTCTACATCGCGCTTTTTAATTAATCCCGTTAATCTTGTTCATCATTACTTATCCTTATTTGAAAGGTTTTAGAATCAGATTGAGAATCACTGAAAAGGTTTGATACGGGAAATCAACTCGAGTATCAATATTTAAGTTTGAAGCTTAAACGCTTTGGGTAAAAGGAGTCTTCGAAGCATATATTATGAAGCTCAGTTTACTATTATCTATCTTTATCTTATTAAAGTGAAGCTTTATAAATGTTTGATGGACAGAAAGAAATAATAATTAATTAATTAATCGTCGTAAAGGAGAGGGAGGGAGGGTATATTTACGTTAAAATAGAAGATTTTTCTGTTCTTCGTTTGATTTCTTTTATTTTTTTTTATTTTTTATTTATTTCTTTCTCTCTCTCTTTCTCTTTCTCTCCCTCTCTCTCTCTCTCTTAATCACATTTACGAGAACATCTTTATTATTTATTATAAACGCGAGACAGAGGGAGAGAGAGAGAGAGAGAGAGAAGATTTAACGTTAAGATGTAAATTTGATGTTTCTCTTCGGTGATGTAAAACAATCCTGATTACAATGGCAATTAAATATTACTTCCTTAAATAAATGGAATAAACTTGGACGTCGAGCTTAACAGGGCCAAGCTTATATACGATTCTTAATAGTATTTATTTATTTTCTTAATTTCAGTCAATAATACAATTTGAAATCTCATCCTTCTAAAAGGAGCGAATTCTAGGTATAATTTTTTTTTTTTTTTTTACTGTTAATCCAATTATCAAAGAACAACGTTAAAATTAGTAACGAGTATGACGTGAGTTAAAAAAAAAAAAAAAAAAAAAAAAAGGAAAAAAAAAGACCAAAGAAAAAAAAAGAAAAAAAAACAGATCTCGCCCAAGTCACGAATGCTAAACAGGGTTTTTAAGATATCGTGATTTTCATTTGAAATCTTAAACGTTAAAAAATATTACCTCCGTAATATTTTACAGTCGTTAGTAGAAAACGTATGACATAAAAATCATTGACAAAGGTAAAAAAATAAAAATAGAGTTAAATGAATAAATAGAAACAAAAGAGGAAGAAGGAAAGAAAGAAAGAAAGAAAGAAAGGAAGAAATAAGAAAGAAACAAAGAAGAAAGAAAAATCTCTCGTTTGAATTAATAACAAAGTCTTTCGTTTGATTTAAAAACAAAA